TTTTAAAAGATTTTATTTTTTATTTAACATGTAGTTTGTCTGCATATATGTATGTCACATGTATGCCTGATGCCCAGGAAGGCCAAAAGGAAGAATTGGATTCCCTTGAACTGGAGTTACCAATGGCTACGAACTGCAGTGTAGGTGCTGGGAACTGAACCTGGGTCCTCTGCAAGAGCAGTCAGTGCTCTTAACCATTGAGCCATCTCTCTCCTAGCACTTCTAAAGAACCACCAAGCTCTTTTATGCAGCTCCTGCCCTGCAAACTGTTCCATTGGTAGAGTGCAGGCCTCCTGTGTCTTTCCCACTTACCTGCATGGCCAGGGAATTCTTGCCTTTTCCCTTGCTGTGGTTCTGTTATGAAGCAACCCCCAAAGGCTCATGTATGGAAAGTTCAGTCTCAACTGAGAGGTGATCTGAGCGCTAGCTTTATCAGTGGGCTCCTGGGAGGAAGGGGGCCTGGCTCAGTTACTTTTCTTTTGCTGCTAGGAACACCGTGGTCACAAGCAATGTGGGGGAGAAAGGGTTCATTTCAGCTTCGAGCTCACAGTCCACCTCTGAGCGAAGCCAGGGTAGGAACCCCAGGAAGGGACCTGGAGGCGCGAACTGAAGCAGAGAGGTGCTGCTTACTGCCTTTCTCCCAATGGCTCATTCACCAAGGACCACCAACCAAGAGGTGGCACCAGCCCAGGGGTGGCACCACCCACAGGAACTGGGTCCTCTCACATCGATCATCAATTAAGAAAATGATTCATAGGCCAATCTCATGGAGGTATTTTCTCAATTAAGGCTCCTTCCCCTCAGATGATTCTAGCTTGTGTCAAATGGACAAAACAAACCAAAACAAACAAAAAAGAGCTATCACAAGGTCTAGGGGGGATGTGTCTCTGGAGAGCTATCACAAGGTCTCGGGGGGATGTGTCTCTGGAGAGCTATCACAAGGTCTGGGGGGATGTGTTTCTGGAAGGTCTATTTTGTCCCTGGTCCCTTTCTGTGTCTCTTGCTTCCTGCCTGTCGTAAGGTAAACAGCCTCTGCCATACTCTCTGTCCTTACCTCTCTGCCAAAGCAATGGAGCCATGCACCACAGCCAAAACCTCAGAAACTGAGAGCCGAAATAGGTCCTTCCTTAGCTGTTTCCCCCAAACAGTGGGGGCGGGGGAGAGGACCCCCTTTAAAACAGACCTCTTCTGGACAGAACTCACTTCACTGGCCTTTCACCATTCTGGATTCCAAAGTTCCATACTTGCCTCCATACTTGCCCACACCTGAACCAAGGGGTAGAGTCAGTGTGTTAAATCAGCTGTAGCATTTAAATGCAAGGACATGAGCCGGCCCTGCAGATGGTGACTCCTATTCTGAGCCTTCATTATTTGTATATGCATGTATTATTTTGCACGTACATACGTATATGTATATATAGCTTTTATATGTATGTATCACTCAGACAACTGTCCTAGAACAGAGAGCACAATGCTGCCACCTGCTGGTCGGAGCAGACAGTACATGTGTGAGTCGGGAAGAACTGAGAGATAGTCCTGTGAAGAAATGGAGAATGGGGGGTTTTGAGGGGAAAAGGCCATGCTAGGCCTCTCGGAGTAGGTGAACTTAAAAGCCAAAGTCCCAGCACAGTAGGTGGAGTGGGCCATATGGGCATCTTGGGGAGAATGTCTCTTTTCAGAGCTCAATCTGCTAAAAGACACCCAAAGCAAACGGTCCCAACAGCACAGACCGCAGCCTCCAGAAAACCAGGGGGTGACAGCTACTAATCCCGGTAGATGAGACCAAGGCTTCACCATGTCACATACAGCCTTCAAAAATAGCATATGGCTGGGCATGGTGGTGCGTGCCTTCAATCCCAGCACACAGGAAGCAGAGACAGACAGATCTGTGAGTTCAAGGCCAGCCTAGTCTACAAATTTGAGTTCCAGGCTGTTACACAGGGAAACCCTGTCTCGGAAAACAAAATAAAAACGTCTGGAGAGAGCCATCCCTCCGCAGTAAGAGCACTGGCTGCTGGTCCTGAGGACCCAGGTTCCATTTCTAGCACCCACCTAGTGGCTGTTGGTAACTCCAATCTCGTGGATATGATGCTCTCCTGCCTTCTTCAAGCACTGCATACACGTGGGGCACAGACATATGTGTTGGTAAAACCCTCATACAGAAGAAGAAGAAAAAGAAGAGGAAGAGGAAGAGGAAGGAAGGAATGAAGGAAGGAAGGAAGGAAAATCTTTTAAAGCATGTCCTAAAAGACACCCAGCAGAATCCTAATTGGGGACTCAAGTGACTTTACAGTGGGGAAGGGTGGCACTGATGGAGGTGGCTTGGGGACCGGAGACCTGATCTCGAAACAAGAGGTGTCTAGTTTAGTATCCTGACCTTCATCCTGACCTCTAGTGGCAACCTTGCTCTCGGCTTGGTTTTGGTTTTGGCTTTTTCGTGACAGGGTTTCTATGTAGCTCTGGCTGTCCATTACCTCACTCTGTAGACCAGGCTGGCCTCGAACTCAGAGAGATCCGCCTGCCTCTGCCACCCAAGTGCTGAGATTAAAGGCCACCAGCGTCCAACACTCTCTGTTTTTACATGGTTGTGCCTTTGGTTTTAGTTGTATAGCTCTATTCCGGTCTTGAGACAGAAACGTGTTACTTGAACGGAGAAGTCAATGCAGCCAGCTGTGGGCAGTCACTGGGGAACTGCATGTCAGCACACAGCAGGCACATCCGGGTGGAAGAGACTCAGAAGTGGGTCCCCAGCACTCTGCCCCAGCCTCAGAAGACATTCCACTGGTGTGTCCCACAAGCTGCAGGCTGGTGGCTAGGAAGGTGTAGGGATTGCGTGACTCTAAAGCCAGCATGGGGGGTTCAAGTGCAGCAGGACAGGAAGAGAGGCGAGAACCAAAGCTAAGGAAGGGAGAAGAGTGGGAAGTGGAAACTAGGCAAGGCAGGATGTGCAGGAGGGAAAGTAGAGCAGGGCAGGAAGCAAAGCAAGATGCAAGTGCAGAAGTAAGAAGCACACCAGGAACCGGAAGTGGGCTAGGACACAAGGAAGGAGGGAAAGCACAGCAGGCCAGGAAGTGAGGCAGGAACAGGAAGTGAAGCAAGAACAGGAAGCAAGGCAGGTCAGGAAGAAAGACAGGAAATGAAACAGGAACAGGAAGCAAGGTAGGCCAGGAAGTGAGACAGGAAGCAAGGCAAGAACAGGAAGCGAAGCAGAAACAGCAAGCAAGGAAGGCCAGGAAGTGAGGCAAGATTGGGAAGCAAAGAGGGACAGGAAGCAGTCTGTGTCTGGCCCCCTTTGTCCTGTCACATGCACTCTCGGTAAGTTCACAAGGGGGCCTTTCTGCTCTTCCCGTCCGGACAACATCTTGTAAGACTAAGTGAACCAACTGTCAGTCAGATTCCTCACCCTCCACCACACACATTCAGGGTCTCTCTCCTGACTGCTGCTGCTCGGCACTCACACAGCCTTCTCCTGGAGAGATTTAGTCCACCAGGTATGTCCGCACCCACCAGAGGCAGTCTTAGCTGCAGCACCATGTCCTCACCCAGTTCCTTTCTTTACACAAATGTTTTTAATGAGAGTTTTCCCTTCAGAGTCCAAGCCTAGCATACCTTGAGACGTTTGAACCGCTGAGACGTTTGGTTCCTGCCCTGCTCCTCTGGACCACAGACCCCATAGGCCCAGACCTTACTTCCTCCGATGCTTTTCTCCTGCTCCCAGGGTGGGCTTACCAGGCTCACGGGTGGGATATCCAGGAATTAATGGAGCGAGAGCTGCTTTTCCATGGAAAGAAGGGAGATGCATCTTTCTTTATGAAAGGGCAGTGTGTGTGTGTGTGTGTGTGTGTGTGTGTGTGTGTGTGTGTCTTCAGCGGCACAGTGAAGCCTTATTGAGAAGGCCAAGTCTGCAACACCTGTTCAGGTGGAAAGGGATGGAAAACTCTGGTCTAAGAAATGAAGTGATGAGATGGGGTTGCTCACCTTGACCAAGATAGGTCACACCCCTGCAGAGGACCTGGGGCCAAGCTACAGAGCCCCAGGTAACAAGTCCTGAGGGACTGTTTCATAGAACATTAGAAAGACAAGGTGGGGTTAGGTCACTGCAGCCTAGCTTAACTCCACTTGCTGGTACAGCACAGGCCCCCAGCACATGTAGGGACCTACGCTTTACTGTGTCCATATCTGGGCCCTACTTCCACGTGGGTCTTCTCCAGGGACTAGACTGAGGGTGAGACTCCACAGGATGTCAGGTTCCCTCCTCTCCCATGTCCTCACACTCCCTCTAGTCAGGGTGAATCCTGGGAAGACATAAAGAATGTCCACTGGGGCTGGAGAGATGGCTCAGAGGTTAAAAGCATTGGCTGCTCTTCCAGAGGTCCTGAGTTAAATTCCCAGCAACCACATGGTGGCTCATAACCATCTATAATGAGATATTGGTGCCCTCTTCTGGCTTGCATGGATAAATGCAGACAGAACACTATGTACATAAAAAATAAAAATAAATAAAAATAAAAAAAGAATGTCCACTAACTTCAGATAGAGGGGACACCAAGAGACCCAAAGAAGGATTCCATCCAAGTCCTGTTTGGTGAACCAGTGAATTCACTGTGGTCACTTACAAGAGTCTTCATCACTCTTGGGCAGCCTGCTGCATTAAGACTGAGGAAAAGCTGTACCATGGGGCAGTCCCTGGACACCTTACGGGCAGTTACACTACCAGAGCCACGGGGCCCAGTCAGCCTGTGTGTAGCCCTCCAAAGCAACGGGCCTGACCAGCAGAAGTCTCCTGTGATCACCTCAGCGGTTCTGCTCCAGATGACGGCTGCCATGTCCTGCCCGGGAGACACAGCTACACGGAAGTTGTGTTTAGACTTACTTTGGTCTGTGGTTGGTTCATCTGAAGTGAGCAGACACCTGTTCGTGTCTCCTCAGAAAGACTTCTATAATGGAGAGCTCCCCAAAGTCCTTCTATAATGATGAGGCAGAAAATATTTCTTGTTTGCTTCTCTGACAACTTTTTAATGTAAACACAAAATTTTTGAAGAAATGGTTGGAAAAAGTAACAAGACAATCTGTAAATGTATTTTTAAACAGGCTATGAAGTCAGCATAGAAATATATCCTGAGGGCTGACTCACTCACCCACACACCCCTGCTTCACTAAGAAAGCCAGATTCCGGCGCCCGCTTGGCCAGGAGGCCACCTGAGCACATAGTGAGGAGCACACTGCAGGCCAAGGACTCGGGCTAAACCTGAAGGAAACCTGCCACGAGTGCTGGGATCCTTGGTGGCACGCGGTGCTCTGCAGTCAAATCCAACGGCACTGGAGCAGAGAGGGCAGGAGCTCCACAGACACAGCTTTTGGGGAGCTTCCAGGCAAGAGTGTCTCCACTGCAGGCCAGCCTCCTGCAGTAGCTCTGGGCACTGAGGTGTCAGGCTGGGAGGTGTGAGGAGGCAAATGAGTGACACTTGCCACTGTAAGGGTGGTAGTTTCTAAAGAGCTCGGTATTTCTCGTGACTGCTGTCCGAGTCAGCATGGTTACATCAGACCCAGCCAGACGAGCCTGGGACAGAGTGAGCTTCCACACTCAGTCGGCAGTCAGCGGAGTTCGCTGGGCTTGGCGCCCTTCACATCCTCACTCAGCTGTCAGCACACGGATATGCAGTCACTGGGCCACCTGCTCACAAGTGGAAGCGGCCCGCATCTTCATCCCATCTCTCGCAGTTTCCTAGGAACTCTGGGCATTAGTGGGCTGCAGCTGAGAATCTGGCCCTTCAGGAGCTGTCCAAGAATGGCTCCACAGCTGGGACTGCTCCTGTGAGTTCAGTGAGCACCAAGTCCTGGCTCCACCATCATCTTGCCTTGAGAGTCCACCAGCACCAGTGAACGGGGAAAGGGTGAGCACAGCGCATGGCTGTGTCCCCTCCAGAGTGAAGCAGGTAGAAGTGAGCTAATGGCAATCAAGACTTTTCTGACCCTTACACTTCCTAGGTCGGGGGTCACCAGAAAGCACTTTGGGCTGCGAGGCCAAGTTTCAGTGACAGCAGCAGCCTGTGCCTAGAGCCTGCCCGTTGTCCTTCTCAGGCAGTGTCTAGCTTAGAAAAGGGGGTGGGGGGTTCGATGTTAATATATTAAGGAATTTAATTTATAGCTACTTAAAATTACAGATACCTACAAAACAGTTCTGTGATGATTCTGCAAGCAAGAATGAACAGAAATCAGGCCCGGTGCAAAGTCTCTTCATTGTCTGTCAGCTGAGAGAGCACAGAGCACGCCCTAATTAGACTGCACACACATTTTTAACACTGACATCTTTTTTTTTTTTTAAAGTTGGATTTTTCAATCATTCCTATTTCAAGGCTACTGAGACAAGGCCACCATTGTGAAATCTCTGTGGTGCCCTTCAGAGACCAAGGCTATCTGGGCTGGCACGTGGCGTCCACTCAGCTCATGGCGTTTTCGTGGCCTGAAACCTCTGTGGTGCTTTATTCTTCGCCTCCAATAAAAACCTCAGCACGCGGCACTAGCCCTGGGGTCTGAGAGCCACAGGTGGAAGGACAGGACACTGGCTCTGCTGCAGGTGTGGCCGGAGTCTCTGAGGACAAAGAGCTCTTGGGGTGTGGTTGCTATGACAAAGCTGTTGCTAGGATAATTCCAAGGATCACAAGCAAAGTGACTACACAAATGAGGATGAACATCACCTTCTGCAAGAAAAGAGACAGGAATCTACAATGCAGAGAAAATATCCTGCTGTAACTGGGCAGCCTAAAACAACTGTCTATCATTAGAAAACACATTCTAGGTAAGAGAGGAGGGAACCTTTCTAGACAGGACCCAGCTGTCTGGTATTGATCTATAAATGAATGGATGAGCGTGCATGTGTGTTTTATCTGCTGGCATGACAGCAAATGTCCATCTAGCCCAGGCAGAGGATCACACCTATTTCCAGTCCTAACATAAGAGCCCATGGGTACCCACAGAAAGCAAGCACTTCCCTGACCATGCTGAGAACCACCGTCGGACCTTTGTGAACATATCCGACTGACCTCTTTGTGCTACAAGGGAAAAGTGCATGGTTCTACAAAGTCTGATGAAAATACTGAAAATACTCATTTTTTTCAGCATAGAAAAACCAATGTCATCTTTTTCAGTAGACTAAGAAGATGGCATCAGGAAAGATATATAACCCTCCTTTCCAACAGACATGGGGCTGCAAGTCCTTCTCATCCCAGGAAGGATGCTCTCTGTGCAGCCTCACGGTCTGCACTGACCACAGGGCACTGCTCCTACCAATGGCAGCCATACCTGACAGATGCTCAAATCACGAGAAAAACATCATGGAGGAAAGGCAGTGAGGAACTGGAGCATGGGAGAGCCTTTCTGCCACTGTGAAAAATTACTCTTAAGCACCACCCCTGAGTGCCCAGTGTTCACAAGGGTGACTCTGCAGTAGGGGATCCCTGGGATGCAGGGGGGTAAGGCCCATGAGTGACAAGACTTTCCACAGTGACTGTACGACACTCGTGGTCTGGCCAGAACTAACAGGCAGGTAATTAAATATCAGGGTTTTCATTTTAGTAGGGGTCTGCTGCCAAGTAGGGACCTGAGAGGAGTTTGGTCTGGGCTGCTGTCCATAGCTTAAGCTCCATTCTCAGTTCCATGGTGAACTGAGCAGTGAAGGGCATTTTACAGTCATTTTCATTGTTGCTGCTGTTCTAAATGTTACACCAAAACTACACCGCAGCATCTGCATCTGGGGACAGGCTCTGGGGGGCAGGGGCCTCCCAGCCTGTGTCACCTCAGCAAACAGAGGCCACTAAGGCATGAACCGAGCACTCAGCGAACAAGCCCCTGTGACTTTTAAGTATATTAACACTGGGCACACACACTACTGGCTGATTGAAAAGGTTAATAAGTAAATTAGTTGATTAGTCACTTACTGCCACCCTGAGGGAGAGGCAAGCACCCAGCGCCATCTACGCAATCATTTGCCAACCGACAAGCCAATGATTAGAGCCAGGACAGCAATGACAGCCACCACCACAGCAGCAATTATCCACTTTTTCTGTCAAAGAAAAGCAGGCTGATTATACCACAATGATTGTGCACTGCCAGTCAGGGGCATCCGCTGGGATTAAAATGATTGCCAGCACTCATTTTGAACTCTAACTTACAGGCCCTCTCCTGACGCCTAGAGCAGTCAGTCTTCCCAGAGTGGCCTGATCTATGAGCTCAGGCCTCCAGAGTCAGTCAGTCCTCTGTAACCTGGTAACACTAGCTTTCTCCTGAGCACATGACAGGCTCACACTGGATTCCGCTGGACTGAAACACTTTCCCAGGAGTCCCGACAGAGTCCTGCCTCCCACCTGTAGCAGGCACTGATGCCCTCTGCGGGCCCTCGGCTGTCCTGGAAGAGCTCGCATGCCCATGTGATGCGCTGACGATCTAGACAGAGGTATTACAACATGCTGCCAAGCAAACATCGTCTTCGGCACCTCTGCAGGCAGCAACATGGAACCTCATGGAACCCCCTCAAGCTTCAGAGATGTTACAGGAGAGACTCAAGCTAGCAGAGTACATCCAGACTCTGCACCAGTTACATTCACTGCTCCAGAATCCCCTTGGGACAGTCTGGGTACAAGACAGAAGCCTAAGCAAAGGGACATCTGCCTTTGAGACTGCCTCCCAGGGCTCCTACACAAGACACCAGGTGCACCCACAGGTTCAGACAGCAGTCACCTAGCGGAGCAAACAGCTATCACACACAATGGGTCACCAGTGATTTTAGGTGAAACCCACATCCCACCACCTTGTCATCCCCCGCCCAGATGATGGCAAAAGGGAACAGAGTTCAAAAGAGGCAACCCTTGAGGTTCTAAAGGGTTTAAGTTACTTACAACACTAAATGGTTATATATATATATAAAAAAAATCAACTTAGGAATTTTTAGTAAAAAGAATTATTTTGATTTTTAAAATAAAACATGTATTTAAGGCATTTCACTTCTTCCATGGCTAGAGACCAAGAGAAGAGAAACCAAAGCAGGGCTCGGTCCTCAGAGCACAACTCACCCGCCTGGCTTTGCTCTGAAATTTGATGGCTTTCTTGGTTTCTTCCTTGGCATGTTCGACATAGTCGGCAGCATTCATCACATTTCTCTCGATGTTGTTGACCATCTCACCCTGAAAACAAGTTTCAAGCTCAGCAAACGTCAAGTCGCTCTCTCATGTAAGCACAGCATGAGAGGGATGGAGACAGGATCCGTCATGGTTACAATGGAGGGCAAGGCTGGTGCAGACACGCCAGCAAACGCAACCCAATTCCTGTTTCAGGAGCAGCTGAGAGGGGTGGTGGCAGCGAGGACCTGACATGTCTTCACAGATGACAGGTGACGACTATCCACAGGTGAGCGATGACCTGACATGTCTTCACAGACGCACAGTGAAGGGAGGGCTGCAAGCTCGGGTTAGTCTCATGTTTTACCCTGGGTAAAACATTCCACACGCAAAGGATGATGACTTTTCTAACAGGCAGAAAACCACCACTGTTTATCTTCACAATATCAGCAAACTAAGTACAGCTTCCAGTGACAATGAACTGATGACCAAAGATGACAATGGGAGGAGTCCACAGCACGTTGGGGGTGGGGGTGCATTACCTGGGTCCTGTCCGGGAGGAGACAGAGTCTGCGGCAGCCAATAGCAAAGCATTGGAGAAGGATGGACAGGTGACTATCATTCACAAGCAAATGCACCAGCAAGTCCTGATTCTGTGTTTCTGCACTACCAACCTAACACAATGACAGACTTCTAAAAGGTAACGGGAAGTGAGGCCACCTATGGTGGCTTGTCCTAATGAAGCTTCCTACTACATATTAGGTATGAAGTGATTACCTAAAGCCTGAGCCGGTACAACGCTTTGGGATTTCAAAATCCATCTACCATCACACAACTACTTCCCTCTGAGCCCAAAAGTCACCAGATGCCCCACTCCCCAGTTCTTAGACCAAGTGGCAGCTGATCCATCCCAGGTCAAAGAAAACCACACGTGTCCATCCCTGACCATCAATATTAATCCCTGCCCACAGATATCCACTCTAACCCCCCAGTGCCTACCACTGCCTCTCCATAACTGCTGGCATCCTCCACAGGTATCTGGTACTTGAGCTTTCTCACAGGTTTTTACGATAAAGTTTATCAAAATAAACACCATTCAAGGCATGTGGGGATGGATCCTAAACCCTTGACATATCTAGGCATCAGAGAACATCATTAGCTATCAGCCAAGGAACCCTGACAGCTGCCTCAGAAAGGCGGCAAGAAAGAAAAGTTTGTCTCTCTGGAGGCCAGCTGCACCCTAGCCTGCCCCAGATGCTCCTGAGGAATCTGAAAACCCTGGAAGACCAGTTGGGTCTGTAGGTTCCCACTGCAACTGAGTCAGTATGGACACATTACCCACGCACACACAACTTGATGTTATACTTGCAGACCCTCTGGTCATCCCTGCCTGAGCTGCAGAGCACGCAAGAACACCACAGAGTGAGGTGGTCTCTGGTCAGTCTCAGTGATTTTACCCTCAAGGTTAGTCTTTAAGCACTATCCTGGTCCTTGTTTTGGTTTTTCGAGACAGGGTTTTTCTGTAACTTTGGAGCCTGTCCTGGAACTCATTCTGTAGACCAGGCTGTGGTCGAACTCACAGAGATCCGCCTGCCTCTGCCTCTTGAATGCTGGAATTAAAGGTGTGCGCCACCACAGCCCGGTGCTCAGTCATTCTTGTAGACAACAGCCCCAAGAGGGGAAGATCAATGGCCCCGCAGTCCTGCCAATTTCAGGGTGGTTGGCTTGGCTACCTCCTTACTTTGTGAGCACTGTTATATGTAACTGAGGTCACGTGATGTGTGTTCACATTTATTTACCTGTATACATATCCATGGCTGTAGTAAGGTTTCTGTATATCCTTTAATTTTAACCTAAAACCCACCACAGACATTTGAAGGTTTCATTATTCTCCAACACCTGGTGCTGCCTGTGGCTCTCTACCTAAGAAGCTGGCCAGCGGGCATGGCTCCTGTAACTGACTAGTGGCCTATGGAGGAAGTGTACACTCAGGTTTCAGTTCAGCATTCACCACAAACAACTCCTGAGTTGAGATTGGATACCCAGCCCTGGCCTCTCTGGCCAGAGCATGGGGAAGGTGCCTCATTACCTGGGTCTCCACAAACATGGCCATATCCATGAACATCTCGTGCAGCTCTCGGATGCTGGTCTCCAGCTTCATGATGTCTTTGTGACGTGACTCGATCTCATTGAGAGCTTGCCTAGTAATTTGTGAATCCAATATAATCTTCAGAAGGCAAAAGGAGAAGCATTACTAACTCCAGGCTGGCTGGTAAGCTAAAGGCAAAGGCGCCCGTCTACGCTAAGTGTGCTGGTGCACAGCTGTGACACTCACATCCGAGATGAAGATGGACGGCTTCCCGCTCTCCAGCATCTCCTCCAGCTCGTCGTCAGTGGTGGTCCTCCCAGCTGAGGGGCGATGGGAACTGCACTGAGGATGCAGCCAGGGATGCAGCCAGGGATGCTCAACTAAGGGATCACTAAGATCTGACTGAGCCATTAACCTCATCCACAGAGTTTCCCTGCCCCTTCTAAGATCTTTTCCTGGGCAGGCTAATGTGGCGGAAACATGACTGCGATGTGTCATAAACCCACCCTGGTATTACAGAGGAGCAGTCATGCCTCTCCTACAGTTCACCACAGGCTTCGGGCCAGAAGCAGCTAACCTGAAGGTGGCATATGACAACGGGATGAACAAACACATGGGAGGCCATCTCCCAGCCAGGCAGGAGGGGCTGCAGTACACAGAAACACCTCAAGCTTTGCAAATGTGACTGACATACAAGCACCAGCAGTTACGAGCAACTCAGCATTGGCTCCTCACTCCCAACTTTGAACACATCTGGCTGACACTAGGCCCAGGCATTAGAGAAGGGTTTCCGGTTTATGGTGCAGTTGGGGGTGTGAAGGATCCTTAAAGAGTGTCTGCCACACTCTCCCTACTCACTGATCTCTAGCTGGCGCTGGATGCGGCCTTTGCTTCGCTCCCGAAACAGGATCTGTGCTTCATTGTATTCTGTCATGACGTCCACAAACTTCCGTGACAGCACCGAGTGCTAGAACATGGAAAACACGGTGTTCGTGTATGAGAGCCATTCCTTCCTTTGTAAGAGGTAAAACCCATGACTGGAAAGCTCAGACTATTACTCCCTTTCAGTAGAAAATAAGAGCAAAAGCAGCCAATAGAAGCTGTATGACCTGAGGTCACCAGACCATAGTAACACACACCTATAATCCCAGCACTCAGGAGTGAGAGGCAGGCAATCTCTGAGTTTAAGATCAGCCTGGTCTACACAGTGAGTTCCAGGCCAACTAGGACTACATAGTGAGACTATGTCTCAAAAAAAAAAAATCAAGACAAAATGCCACCAACAACACCAACAAATAAGCTGGGGCCTACAGCAGTCAGCTGACTTCTGGAGGTGAGCATTATGGGAAGCTGAATCCAGCTGGGAGGCACACGGACTGCCTTGAGCTGGCAGGCTTGTTCACACAGCACTGAACTTCCCAGGTTTCATCCATAAACCCCGAACAGTGAAGACCAAACCACTAACATCCAGATGATTCAGATGGTTCCCTGCTCTGCAGCATAGACCATGTGAGTTTCTGGGGTGTCTCTTCACAGTGAAGAGACAGACAGTGAGGGAGGGCAGACATGACCAAAAAGATGCAACAACTGGGCTCTGATGTGGCTCAGGGACAGAGCTCATGCTAAGCACATGCAGGGCACCAGATTCCATTTCCAGCACAATAAACAAATGAAATTGCTTTGCATTCGGACAAAGTGAAATGCTGTTCTTCCACATCGCTTCAGTCTAACTGAGGCTGGAAGGCTGACCTGGGTCCTTCGTATCCGCAGGTCCACTGACGTTCGGTTCCCACTCTCATCCTGATCACAACTCTGCTCGATAGCTAGAAGGAAGCAGGGCAGAGTCACCCAGGTATGACAGCAGTCTCAGGATGGCCTCAATTTTCCCCATAAAACTAAAGAACAGGTGATATCTTAAAATAATCCTCTAAAGCAGCGGTTCTCAACCTTCCTAATGCTGAGACCCTTTAATACAGTTCCTCAGGTTGTGGTGACCCCCAACCATAAAATTATTTTCGTTATTACTTTATAACTGCAATTTTTCTACTGTTGTGAATTATAATGTAAATATCTGACATGCAAGATATCTAATATGTGACTCCTATGAAAGGGTCATTTGACCCCCAAAGATGTCAAGACCCACAGGTTGAGAACCACTGTTCTAAAGACTAGTTACCAAAAGAAATGTTAATAATACTGTACATACATATGAACTCAATGACAGACATGTAGACAGACAAGCATAACTTGTGTCTACACACATTAACACCCATGTAAACACATATATACAAATACCAACATACACGTATGCACATATTTGCATACATAAATGTATGCATACAGATCAAAATCATTAATACATGCATATAGAAAAATGCATAAAAAACAAACACATACACAAATATGCACACAGGTGTGTGATTGTGCATGGGCCTTGTGTGTTTGTATTTATGCATTTGTATGTTTGTATTTGTATGTATGCGTTTGTATATCCACATTTGTCTCTGCTGCTCTGGTTGTCTGCATGTGTGTGCATCTGTGTTTGTAAGTATTTGGTGTGCATATTTGGGGTGTGTCAGGTGTCTTTAAATGCCCAGTCACTGTAACGAGTCTGAATCAGATATAGAGTGGTTGTATTCTTGGGAACAACATTGTTTTTAAGGTGCACGCTCTCGGGGTCCGCCTTGAGATCAGTGGGGAGTACCCTAGGACCTGGGCAACATGTCTGCCACCGTGAAGTTGCTGTCCCTGAGAAGAGGGTGCGACATGCAGAGATGAGATTTGCTCCTTTTGATGTGTCTCTTGAGTTAAACGCGTCTTCCTCACAGATCAAGGAAGATCAAGGAAGGCAACTTCTATTTAAGTACTGCGCAGCAAGCCACAACCCTCACCCAGGCCAGGTGTCATGCTGAACACAGAGCCCCGTGGTCTCTGCTGGGCTCCTGGCAGCTGGGAAGCTTATTTCAGCCAAGAGACCCATCTGAGAGCTTTGGGACTCACTATAAAGGCTATTCCCCCTTTCTCCGTCACCACCAGAGCCACCATGAGATACAGCATGAAAACCAGAGACCCAGATACTCATATCCAAACAACTTACATGTAGTCTTAACTTTCATTTTGGGAAATGTAAGGTACCAACACCCACACCCCACCAGCCCCCAAGAAGGCAAACTTACACTTCAGTTTGCCTCGGATCCAGTTGGCGGTTTTCTTGATCTCTTTGTTCAGGTCTTCAAGATCTTCTTTTATTTCTTTAAAAAGTTCAAATAAAACACCTGAGCTGGAACACTCAACTCCTGCACATCCACTCATGCAGGCCAAGCACAGACGCATCCAGCCTTCTTCCCAAGTGCGCTGCCCCCAGTTACCACTGTCATGCTCAGACCAGCTCCTGGTATACCCTGAACTGTGTCATCAGATGCAGTTGGTGGGAGCCACAATTGCAGGCTCACCAGGACAAGGGGTGCACACAGCACAGCCTGAAGAGGCCTGCCCAGGCACCAGAGGTCTCTCCTGCTGTCACCATCTTCCTGGTCCTTGTTGCTCCATCAGACACCCCACACATGCCACTCTCCAGCTGACCTGGCTCTAGACCTTGAGAGCCAACCCTGGTACCCCAGTTAGTCTCAGGGTGAAAGATCACCTGCTGCAGCGTGATCAGTTGGCACGTCCCACAGCAATGTCTGAACCCCTAGAACATCTAAGGAGGCTCTGTGGGCGCCTCCCAGCGTCTTTCTTGCAATCTGAGGTGAAGTCAGAAAAACACTCAAGGACTTGAAGCACACTGAGGCCTGGCAGATGTGAGGGAGACCCTGCAAATCCCCAGTGTGACCAGAAACCAGAGACATTCTGAGGCTCCCCAGAAGGAAGACAGGCAGATTGGCTCCTGTAGGGCAGCAGAGTGACCAAAAGTCAGTGAACTAGTCTAAAAGCAAGTGTGTAGAAGCGACCAGACACTGGGGAAGGCTCCACAGGTCACACCTCATTTTCTGGCTTTTTCTATAAGTGGCAACCAACACTGAAAGTTTCTAAACAAAGGCATTCACATTTCTAAGAAGAGCTAGGATTTAGAAAGATCATTCAGACACCCTAAGGCACAGGAAAATGGAAATGCCATCGGAGCACAGACCCCACTCTGTGAGCACATGCCACGCAGTGACCTCCAGACTCAGTGTCTCCTCTCAGTTTTCATTACTAGCCCAGCTCTGGCAAGAAACCACTGCTTACCAAATCAGCCTGTTGTTAACGTCCCCAAACACAAGAACCATCATCCCTCAACTGTGTGCTCAGTGCAGATGACGAGCCAGTGCTACTGCTGGAGCCCCACTGGGCACACTCACATATCCTTTGGATCCTGCCCAGCAGTGGTTCTCACCCGGCTGAACACTGACATTATTTTGGGAGTTTTCAAACACCATAAAGGTGACCTGGAATGCCAAGGGGGTCTGTGCGTGCTCATATGCATGGGGATACTGCTCTATCTAAGGGGAAGCTGGAGGACAGACAGGTGATGGACTCACTTCCTTCTGGGTTTGGGGCAGAAAGGATGATGCTGTGGTTCTTCTTTACGTCTTCCACATGTTGAGCAATCCTGGCTATGCTGCTTCGAATCTCCTCCACCTAGGAGAGAGACACTATGGTAAGGTCAGAGTTGCCACTGTTGTCCATCTCCCACAGAGGGATGCTGGAGAGGAAGGCATTTAACCCCATGGAAAGAATGAGTGTCATTTCTGCTGTCACAGTGATTATTACTTTTGTGTGTGTGTGTGTGTGTGTGTGTGTGTGACTGTTACTTTAAAAAGGGGGGGAGCTCAGTGGGTAAAGGTGTGAAGGTACTTACCACCAAACCTGACAGCCTGAGTTTGATCCCTGAGACCCATGGGGAGAGAACCAACTCCCAAAAGTTACCCTGACTGTTATAGCATGCACATGAGTGGCTATACATAGACATATATACATACACACACACACACACACACACACACACACACAAATGTAGTAATTTTAATTTAATTTTAATTTAATTTTTACTTTTAATGTAGTAAGAACAGCAATCTACCAATTCCTACTGTTAGGACTAAAGCAACATTTGCCAGCAAAACTATATGCTGTAAAATCCCTACACTTGACCCCACACACCACCACCCACAGCACTAAGTAGAGGCATATGATCAGTCAGCAGTGAGCACCCCACGCCCATGAATGGGAAAAGGCAAGGGAACATCCATGAGGAAGCCTCGCCAAGCAGATGGCCAGCCCTTCCATCATCCTCCTGATTACGTGTGTGGTGTAAGCAACTCACTGCAAGAGTCCTTTGAATGAACTTACATCTTCAGAAGTCTGTGGTCACTCAGTAATGGGGCCTTGAAGATATCCTGGTCCCTATAATAGTCATATTATATAGCAAAGGAGCCTATATAGATTCAACCAGAAATCTGAGATGAAGAGGCTGGTGGGGATATCCAGGTCTGACCCAGACAGAACCTGGCTACAGGGGAAGCCACATGATGGCCCAGGCAGGAGGGGCACTGCCAGTCCCTCCTCCTTCCTTCACTTAGCCACCACATGCTGTGATCCATGGCCACACCCTGACATCGCCTTCCAAGGCAAAGGACCTCACAGGTCTAAGACTTGAGTTGGGAAGCTATCCTGGGTGGGATGGTTTGAATAAAAATGGTCCCCATGCAGTGGCATTGTTTGAAAGGATTAAGACTTGTGGCCTAGTTGGAGGAAGTGTGCCACTAGGGTAAGCTTTGAGGTTTCAGAAGCTCAAGCCTGGCAGCTCACTCTCTCTTCCTGTTGCCTACAATCCAGACGTAGAACTCTCTGCTACCTCTCCAGCACCATGTGTGCCTCATGCTGCCGTGCTTCCCGCCATGGTGACAATGGACTAAACCCCTGAACCTGTAAACCAGCTGTTAGTTTGCAGGCATCTGCACTGGCCTGCCCCTGGGGTTCTGACAGGTTGTGTCTTCAGTTGTAGCCACTAAGAACACCTCCTGTGTACATTCGCTATGTTCCCTTTTAAAAAGGCCCTGCCCACCTCTCTTCTCTATGTCTGTCTGTCTGTCTGTCTCTCTCTCTCTCTCTCTCTTTCTCTCTCTCTCCTCTTCTCTTCTCTTCTCTTCTCTTCTCTTCTCTTCTCTGTCTCTCTCTGTCTCTCTGTCTCTCTCTTCTCTTCTCTTCTCTTCTCTTCTCTTCTCTTCTCTTCTCTTCTCTTCTCTTCTCTTCTCTTCTGCTGCTCCTGTTCCCGGACACTGGTCTCACAGCTCCCCTTCCCTCTTTTTACGTTCCCATTCCTTTTTGTTGCATGGCATCTCTCATGCAATGCTTTTTTCTATTACAACACCATCGGGGCGGTGGTGGCACACACCTTTAATCCCAGCTATGAGAAACTGTCTCGAAAAAAAAATTATAACACCAGCCCCAATTAAATGTAAGGGTTGCTGTGGTCATGGCATCTCTTCACAGCAATAAAACCCTAACCAAGATCCTAGGTGATCTAGCTGTGCCTACACAGCGGAGACTGAGGAAATAATGTCAGGAAGGGAAGATGTGATGGTGAGAGCCAAGCACTGTGCTCTCAGAAGGGATGGCCTGCAAACCAAGAAAGCAGTCTCCAGGGCCCGAGTGCAGTCCTCACTCCTCTGTAGCATGATCACAGCTTGATCTGAGCCTCTAACACTCCCTAAAGACAGATAGCTCCGGAGCTAGGAGATAGTATGATGTGCTGCTTACGGTCCCCAGTCTTCTGGTCACTCATCACAGCAAAATAAGAAACACACATTTACATGCTTTTATGAAAAAGTACTTCCCTTTGGGGCTGGAGAGATGTCTCAGTGGTTAACAGCACTGGTTGCTGCTCCAGAGGACCTGGGTTCAATTCCCAGCACCCACATGGCAGCTCACAACCATTTGTAACTATAATTCTAGGGGACCCAGCATACTCTTCTGACCTCCATGGGCACTGCATGCATGTTATGCACAGACATATATGCAGACAAACCACCAATAAACATGCTTTTGGGGGGGGGGGTGAGATATGGTTTCTCTGTAGCTTTGGGACCTATCCTGGAACTAGCTCTTGTAGACCAGGCTGGCCTCGAACTCACAAAGACCCACCTGCCTCTGCCTCCCAAGTGCTGGAATTAAAGGCGTGCACCACCACCACTCAGCACATTTTTTTAATTTAATAAAAACAGATTATTTTAATGTTTTGGCTATCTTGCTATAGAGGCTGAAATCAAGGAATAGCGCTGATTCCAGTTTAGAGATGATATTTCAATCTGCATTTGAAAGTGCCACTTTCAAGGTTACACTGATGGCCCCTGTGTCAGAAAGTAAAGGGGACAGCCCAGCTTAGAGAGTTCTTGCCTTCCCCTGACTTCACAGCAGCTGATACCAGATTGGCTCTACCAGAAAAAGGCAGCTGTGGGCCCCACAGCCTGCAGAGAAAGCCCCGCAGGAGGAGGGTACATGGTGGTAACGGTGCTGGTCCAACCTGAGACTGCAAGCTGCCCCTGCAGGGCCTCTTCCACCCATTATAACCATCTTCTCTGGAAAGTTCTCCACTTGTTGCCTTGCTTTACTAGTCTTTAACCACACCCTCCCAGGTGAGGAACAAATTCTGTCTTCTGCATCACTCTGTGTGACATGTTCTTCCCTCAAGGCTTTTCCTACCAGAGCCCTTATGACAACAGACCTGATTGTTTCTCTGTCTAAGGTGTCACTTCGTTCACAGAAACAACTACAGAATAAAGTCTGTAACAAATGGAAGAAGCCAGATCAATACACTCGCAGTAATTGCTGGGGAATATTACTGTAAGATGTGTTACATTGTTTATGCTGTGGAACATTTGTTTTAAAGGTACAAAGATGTGTTGCATTTGTTCATGTTGCATTTGTTTAATTCTATGAAGTTGTGCTGCTTTGCCTGTCTAAAACATCTGGTTGGTATAAGAAGGAGATGAATGGTCAATAGCTTGGCAGGAAAGGATGGGGGAGCGGGCAGGCAGAGAATAAATGGGAGGAGAAATTGGGAAGAAAAGACCAAGGAGAATGAGCAAGAACAAGGAGAAGAGGATGCTAGGAGCTAACCATGGAGTAAGAGTGAAATATATAGAAGTAAGAAAAGGAAAAAAGCTAGCCAGGCAGTGGTGGTACAAGCTTTTAAACTCAGAAGCAGACATATCTCTGTGAGTTCAAGGCCAGCCTGTACTGTGGGATAATGTTCCTGTACCCTGTAAAGATTGCTACTAGTAGCCAGGCAGTGGTGGTGCACGCCTTTAATCCCAGCACTCAGGAGGTAGAGGCAGGTGTATCTTTGTGAGTTCGAGGCCAGCCTGGTCTACAAGAGCTAGTTCCAGGACAGGCTCCAAAGCTACAGAGAAACCTGTCTCGGGAAAAGAAAGAAAAAATAAAGATTGTTACTCGTATTGGTTTAATAAAAAATACTGACTGGCCAGTAGCCAGGCAGGAAATATAGGCGGGGCAACCAGACTAGGAGAATTCTAGGAAAAGGAAAGGCTCTCTCTGCAGTCACCCACACAGACACAGAAAAAGCAAGATGAAAATCCTACACTGAGAAAAGGTACTAACCCACGTGGCTAAATACATACAAGAATTATGGGTTAATTTAAGCTGTAAGAGCTAATTAATAATAAACCTGAACTAATAGGCCAAACGGTTTGTAATTAATATAAGCCTCTGTGTGTTTTGTTGGGACTGAATAGCTGCAGAACTAGACAGGACAGAAACTCCATCTACAAGCCTGGTCTACAAAGGGAGTTCCAGGACAGCCAAGACTGTTACACAGAGAAACCCTGTCTCAGAGGGAAAAAAAAGAAAGAAAGAAAGAAAGAAAGGTAGATGGGAAAAGCTGGCTGGACACAAGCCAAGCTAAGACTGGGCATTCATAAAAAACAATAAGACTCTATGTGATTCATTTGGGAGCTGAGTGGTGGGCCCCCAAAAGAACAAGGAATAATAATAATAATAATAAAAATGGTCTCAGAGTACAAGTACCCTGCTCCACTTGCAGCCAACAACAACAACAAAAGTCGCCCCAGACATTGAGCTCAAAAAGCCAGGATTCTTGCTTCCAAGGGACCAAAGAGCCTGGGTTCCTAAGAAGTCACAAGTCTTGTAGTGAGACCCTTTAAAAAGCCACTCCAGAGTTGTGGTTGGCTTCCCAAAGGAGGAAGTACTGCTTGGGACATTGCAGCTCCACGTCACAGGAAGAGCAGCAGAGAAAGAGGGCCCTGACCCACCCACCCAGGTACACTGGCCCTACGTCCCACAGTGCCTCCAGCCCGTGTGCAGATCCAGCCTTCCCTTCCAGGCTGTCTGCATGCATAGTCACTTGAATTGTCTTGGTATTAGCTGTCAATGATGCTGAAAGTCCCAAAGAATTTCAAACAACTTTAGCCAGGCGGTAGTGGCGCACACCTTTGATCCCAGCACTCGGGAGGCAGAGGCAGAGGCAGAGGCAGAGGCAGGTGGATCTTTGTGAGTTCCAAGCCAGCCTGGTCTACAGAGCGAGTTCCAAGGCAGGTCCCAAAGCTACAGAGAAATCTTATCAAAAAAAAAAAAATCAAACTACTTTAAAAACAGCCATGTTCAGCAGGCTGAGACAGCAGAATGGCAGGGTCAAACGTTAAGTAACCTGGGCCACACAGGGAGACATTACTCAAAACTTCAAAAGTCACATAAGTCATGATTAGGACATACTGAGGACCATGTGGCTAGGTGGCTTCCCTGTGGGAGTGGCATGGGATGCAGATGGCACCAGTGGCACAACCTCTTGGTGCCACAGTCAGATATAAGGTCCACCGTTAGCCAAACGCAGTTCCAGGGTACATGGGCGTCCTGTCTTGCATGGGACAACAAACACTACTATAGTAAGGTAAAGTCTGAGTCTGCACTTCATTAAATGCTTACCTGATGGAAGAAATCATCCATGAAATGGTCCTTTTCAACAGTGACGACAGTAGTGTCTCCATCGTCGTTTTTCCTACACTAGAATAGAAAACATTTTCAAAGTGTCAGAGGCTGAGCAGCAACTCGGGACCCAAAGCAGCTCAGCTGCACGCTGGGTACCGAGAGCAGCAGAGCAGCCGCACGCCACAGCCTGCAGCCATCTAACTCTGCAGCTCCTTCATTGTGACAGGCGGCACCAATGAGGGAAGAAAACAAAGGTCAGATATCTGTGCAGGCACGTTCGTGTTCATCTTAACCTCAGTCAGGGCCACTCACAGCAGGTTCGTCCCCAAGAGCCGACGTGGTGTACACACACATCACACACATACACAGAGTCATCCTGTGATTGATTCTGGGCTCTGAGCTCACTAAGCAAGTACTCAACACTGGACTACATCACCATCTCTGTAATATGTTCATGGTCTGTAAAGATGAAAAATGCTACTGGGGGTGGAAGCTGGAGAGATGGCTCAGTGGTTAGGAGCACGGGCTGCTCTTCCAGAGGACCTGGGTTCGATTCCCAGCAAGCACATGGTGACTCACAACTGTCTATAACTGTTGTCCCATGGATCTGATGTCTTCTTCTGGTGTGCAGTCAACATGAGAACAAAAAACCCATATACATAAAATACATAGACAAATAAATCTTTTTTTTAAGCCAGGTGGTGATGGCGCACACGTTTAATCATCCCAGAACTCAGGAGGCAGGGGCAAGCAGGCCAATCTGGTCTTCCAGGACAGCCAGGGATACACAGAGAAACCCTGCCCCCAAAAACAAACAAACAAACAAACAAACAAACAAAAACACCGTTTAAAAAATGGGTTTGGTGGTGCACTCCTATAATCCCAGCACTTGAGAGGTGGGAGCAGAATGATCAGAAGTTCCGGGTCGACTTCTACTACATAGTGAGTTCAAGGCCAGCCTGGAAAGCAGGAGACCGTATCTGAAAACACACCAGACTGCAGACAGCACTAGCTGACTCTTGTAGAGCGCACAGTAACTTCCGAGGTGTGTCAGCTGACATCCTTACTTTCTAAGAGAACGACCACTATACACTGTGTTTAATAACAACAAACAATCTGACAAGAAATGGGGAGTTGGGGGAGACGAGGGTCAAGTAACACTGGAGAAGACAACAGTGACATTACAGACACAGTTGGCAATCGCCTAACACAGGATCAAAGATACGCAGAACCAGGCACTTCCTATGCCTGCCGCATGCCTTGGATCCTGAGGGTGCTGGATGATGACGTACTATAGCCCAGCTGCTGCTGCCTTTGAGGCCTGGGGCCTCGTGTCTGCACAGGATGCTAGAGAGATGCTTGGACTGCCTGCGTAGTAACCCACCTGAAAGCCTCCCTTCTAAACAGTCAAAGCCTCTAGCAGCACAGAAAACCATAAATTAGCTGGAAGCGGCTTTTGTCAACAGCTCTAAATGTCCCCCACCCCCACCCCTGGCTGGTCTCTAAATCCCCAGCCAGCCACGAGGCACAGGGGGAGGGACTTGCTGAGCTCTTTCCCCAGGGCAGCCCTGTGAGTCAGCACTAGTCCAGCCTCCCAGCCTCCCTCCCTGCAGTAGACTGCCAAGGCATACTAGGAACCTACCTCCACTGCTTGAGGAATCTAGCCTTTACCCTGGGGGCAGGCCTGATGCACAGCAGTACCCCCTTACCACCCAGGAAAACTTGCAAACAAAATCCTACTACAATTCTCAGCTAAGAAAAATCTGTGAATTTAAGAAATGTATTAAAGGGCTGGAGAGATGGCTCAGTGGTTAAGAGCATCACCTGCTCTTCCAGAGGTCCAGAGTTCAATTCCCAGCAACCACATGGTGGCTCACGACCATCTGTAATGAGATCTGGCACCCTCCACTGGCACGTGGGCATACATGGAGGCAGAATGTTGTATACATAATAAATAAATAAATTAAAAAAAAAAAGAAATGTGTTAAAGCCGAGCAGTGTGGCGCATGCCTTTAACCCCAGCACTCAGGAGGCAGAGGCAAGGATCTCTGATTTTCAGGCCAACCTGGTCTACATGGTGAATTCCAGGCTGGTCAGGGTTACATAGAGAGATGCTAACCCCCCCCCAAAAAAAAGAAAAAAAAGAAAGAAAGAGAAATATGTTATGAAAGCACAACAAATTCTGCCTCTCTCCGTACCACCTGGGACCTCCCTAAGGCCTGATCAGCTCTTCCCACATCGTATGCACCCCCCTCTAGCGCTGTCTGTGTGGATAAGATGGCTGGTTAGTTAAGGCTAGGAGTGTGGCTCTAAGATAGAAACAGGAGTATGAGAGGAAACTTTGTCACCAGGGAGATGAAACCACATAGCCAGGACCAGCTTAATAAAAAAAGGGACGTCACCTAAGAGGATGCCTTATATACCCATGAAACCTAGCACTGCTCCCTTTGGCTCGCTCCTTCTGCGTGATTTCTCCCAGAGTCCAAGGCACACTGTTGGTCAATACACTGCTCTCCCAGATGTCTGGAATGAAAGACAGTGCTGAAATATGATGTCCCAACAGCCCTAAGCAAGGGAACCACATTTGGGACAGGGGCACTGACGTGCCCAATTAGGACGGCTCACTTCAGAGGAGGGTGGGCTCAGTCGCTGAGATAATCACAGAGCAAGGAAGACAACAGTAAAGCACAGGATGGCACAGGGGATCTGCATGCTTGGGAATGGAGTGTCGAAGACCAGTGTCTCAGAATGTACAAGATGCAAAGAAAAATTTTAGCCGTGGCTTTTGGAGGTGCTGACACCCTGATTTCACACCTGAAGCCTCAAATGCCTTTGAGAACTGGGCGGAAGGATCTCAAATTTGATGCCAGGAAGTCTGGCAATAATGTCACATGCCTTTAATCCCAGCACTTGGGGGGGGGGGGCAGAGGAAGGTAGATTTCTGTGAGTTCAAGGCCAGTCTGGTCTACATAACAAGTTCTAAGACAACCAGGTTTACACAGAGGTTCTGTCTCAAATAAAAAACAACTTGAAGCCACCCTGTACAACCAACCCAGTGAGACCCTGCTTGGAAAAGAAAAAGAAAACAAAAAACTGGTGTTGGTGGGACATGCCTATAATTCCAGCACTCGGGAAGCAGAGGTAGGAAGATCCTGAGTCTGGGGCCCGACTTGGCTACATGGTTAACTCTAAGCCAACTTGGGATATACAGTAAGACAAAGATAATGGAGGGGGGGGGGGGAGGGGGGGAAGGAGGGGGGGGGGGAGGGAGGGGGAGGGAAAAGGCTGCCTGAGGGTACCACATGCTGCCCTGGGGCCATGAGCACCTCAACTACCCAATACTGGAAATCCTCTCTGAGAATGAGCCACGGCCTAAAAATGTACCCAGCGTCTCCGAGGCACATACACTGGTGGCAGCAGTTCAAGAAAGGGTGATTAGGGAATCTGGGGCACATGGAGAGACACCATTCTGCATCTCTGTGCAGGCTGCAAGGACAGAAAGTGACCATTGCCAGGGACAGGGAGAAAAACCAGACAGGAACTTCCTGGTAGTGAAGGTGTGAGGAAGGCCAAGAGGGAGGCATGCAGGGCCAGGGAGGCTAAGGAAACTGTCAGGAAGTGGGCTTATCCTGCAGCCAAGAGGCCAAGAGGAAGTCTGGCCATGGCAGATGCTCTCAGGTCACTCTGGTTCAAGCAAAAACAGGAAATAATTGGTCTACTGGAAAACCCAGGATCTCTTATACATGACCTAATCCGTTCTGATTTATTAACACCCTCACTCTTCCTCCCTCAACCAGGAATCCACGGCTTATGGCCAATTCACTTTAGTCTGTCTCTAGTGTCTCATTTAGCTCAGACCTGGCATTCTCTCTGTGCTCGTACGTCCTGCCAGAGACGGGCACTCTGGATGTAGAGTCTAAGCAATCTCAGGCAAGCAGCTTGAGGTTTTGTGTTGAATGAACAGTGGATCAAAGCAGGAAGCTTCTCTCGGCCTATACAAGATCTGTGAATGTAAACTGCTTACCATGATTAATCTTTTTCTGCAATAAAGTCTTACTATATCACCCAAGCTAACCTGGAACTCAGGACTTTCCAGCCTCAACCTCCCAAGCATTGGAATCACAGCCATTCAAATGAGGTAGCGTTGTTTTGTTTTGTTTCTTTTGTTTTGTGGGGTTTTTTGTTTGTTTGTTTGTTTGTTTTGCTTGTTTGTTTTTCGAGACGGGTTTCTCTGTAGCTTTGGAGTCTGTCCTAAAACTAGCTCTTGTAGACCAGGCTGTCCTCGAACTCACAGAGATCCACCTACCTCTGCCTCCTGAGTGCTGGGATTAAAGGCATGAGCCATCACCGCCTGGCGAAACGAGGTAATGTTTAAGTTTTTGCCAGGTGATCACCATGAATACCTTTTCCTCAGGTGGATGTATACAGAGCTAATGGGGAACCTTTCTGATAAACCTCAAACTCTGGGTCACTGTGGCCATTGCAGTTCAGCCAATAACCACAAAATTAAACACTAGATCTTATTTGCAAAAAGGCCGCATTTGGATATACGACGTGAAGAGGCAGACAACCCATTCCAAACTACTTGAGAAAAGAAAGTATTTTTCACTAAACAACAATTAAACTTATCTGATAAGTAGCCCTTTTTGTTTGTCTTCTGAAACAGGGGATCATGTAGCCCAGGCCGGAAGCTATGAACTCAGGATGCCTTAAATTTCTGACCCTTCTGCTTCCACTTCCCAAACGTTCCAATTACAGCTGTGGGCCACCACGCCCGATTCAGATGCTCACACCTGTAATCCCAGCACGGGGAGACTGAGGCAGGAGGCCTGCTAGGAGGTCAGGGTCGGTCGAGGCTACACAGTAAGTCCAGGTTGGCCTGGGCTGTAGTGTGAGACCATTCCCCAAACCTTCCCAACCAAAAGGAAAACAAACATGCTACTTTAAACATGCCAAATTCAAGTCCGATAATTTTAAACTAGAGATAGTAAAGAGAAAGTGGCTTTTTCTAAGTTCCCGAAAATGGAAAATCTAGTAGGTTATCAACGGTGTAAGCCCCTGGCACTTGCCTCCTC